GCCCCCAGGTGCAGCACCGTGTACTTGTCAGTGTTGAAACCCATGTTGTTCTCATCCACCCAACCCATAACCTGTCTAGGTCTGATTGCAGCCTATTCCTACCTTCTGGCATGCCCACTTCTCCCCACATCTTAGTGTTGTCTGCGAATTTGAACAGGGTGCTTTTTAACCCGTCGTCCAAGTCGCTGATGAAGATGTTGAATAGTGCGGGCCCGAGGACCGAGCCCTGGGGGACCCCACTGCCCACATCCCTCCAGGTCGAAAATGACCCATCCACCACACCGCTGTCTAGGTGTGGCCCTCCAGCCAGTTAGCGACCCATTTGACTGTGTAGGTGTTGACACCACAGCCCCCAGTTTCTTAATGAGAACGGGTGAGAGACAGTGTCGACGGCCTTCCTAAAGTCCAGAAAGACTATGTCCACTGCTACCCCTGCATCTAAGGATTTTGTGACCTGGTCGTAGAAGGCCACCAGGTTGGTCTGACAGGACCTGCCTCTAATGAACCCGTGTTGGTTACACCTAAGCATAATCTCCCCCGCTGGCCTCTTGTGGACATGCACCAGGATAACTCTCTCAGAAAGCTTACCCAGGACCAAGGTAAGACTGACTGGCCTATAGTTTCCACCAGTTCCAGCTGGTGAGAAGGCTGTGGCTGTCTTTTTCAGACTGTGATCTGGCGACCATAATCCATGCCTTCTTAACCTCAAGGCTAGACTGCTGCAATGCACTACACAGGGGTGCCCTTGAAATCCATTGGGAAGTTCCAGTTGGTGCAGAATGTGGCAGCCCATCTTCTGATGGGGTTGAGTCACCAGGAGCACATAACTCTAGGCTTCCAGCATCTACAGTGGCTCACAGCAGCTGTCTGGGCACAATTGAAGGTGCTAGTTTTGATCTATAAAGCCCTAAACAGCCTGGGCCCTACATACCTGTTGCTTTTACACCCTTTCATGATCCCTAAGGTCACCCAAGAGCAATCTCTTATGAATTCCATCAGTATGCCAAGTCTGCTTGACAAAATATATGGGAAGTCATTCTCAGCAGTTGCTCCTCAGCCTTGAAGTGCCTTCCCTCTTTTGAGGCTCACCAGAGCCTGAGCCTGGACATCTTTCAGAAGCACAGCAAGACTTTGATTTAGGCAGGCATTTAGCAACCAAGGCTAAGCTGAAATTTTATTTAATGGGTTTCTGCTTTATTTTGTTATTTTATGTATTTCACTTGCCTTGTGAAATTGTTCTTTTTCTCTTGCTGTAAATGGCTTTTGTTGGGAAGGGTGGCGTATAAATCACATTTATAAATAATATATGACTGTGGGCAAATCTGACTGTGGGAAGTGGAACTGGTTAGAAATTTTCCAGTGAGATAATTCTGGTTCATCAAACCTGAAGTGTATCATTTGAAACATTTCAGGGTTGATGAACTGGCACTGAATCCAAGGCAGGACCCTGCCAAATCCTGCCGGGATTCCTGGTACCTCTGCCCCAGGGCTGCAGAGAAACCCCAACATTATGGACTAGCATTCAGATCTGAGGCTTCAATCATGCTCATGCAGAGAGAATTTAAGTTAGCTATCTGTAAAAATAATACATTGACTTTCTGTGTGTGACTCTTGAGGAGCCCTGTAATTGTAACAGCCTGTTGTATACAGTGTCTGAAGGAGCTCTGTTTCCTCTTGTGTGGCAGAAATCTGTGGTTTTGATGCTGAAGTCTCTTGTTCATTCCTAGCTAGTGATCATAGTGTCCTTATGGATGCGACTATGGTGCACTGCATAAATCAAATACTACTTCTTCGATTACACTGGCATGATGCTTCACTACACCTCTCTGCTCCTCTTGTTCACAGACCAACCTCCAGGCCATCATCTCGTCCGAGAGGCAGGTCATGCTGCTGATGAATTCCATTGATGAGGCCCTGGTAGAGGTTGCCAAAGTGGAGGAGACCTTGCAGGTACATGACAAACTGCTAGGGAGTCTGAAGCAGCAGATGGATCACATCCAGCAGGAGAACTTCTTGTTGCACCGGATTGAGTCCAACCAGGAGAAGCTGATGGGCGAGATCCTCTTCCTCACAGTATGTGGAGTCATGTGGGGACTGACCAAGTCCCATTGAGGTGGAAAGATTGTCATCTCTCTGCACTGGACTTCCAGCCCAACTGGCCTAAAAATGAAGGGTCCAAGGCAGTTGTTAAAATGCTGGGGTAGTCTGTATGCAGAGGGGGTATCATGCCTGGAAATATATTCCCTGAACATAGATTATGTTTGACTTGTAAATGTTTATCTGTGTCCTGCTGCTGAACAGGGGGCAGCAAGGAGCACAGAAAGGTGCAAGAGGTTACAACCATGGCAACTGTTTTGTTGGTCATGACACAGATAGCAAATGCTGTTCTTGGGCATATCAACGTTAACAACATTAACCTTTTCATTGCCTTAGAACATGTGGTACAATTACCATTGATCAGAGTCATATTGGTATTACTATGTTTGCCTGAAATTCCTCTGATTCCTCACCATCAGTGTCCAAAATTGTGTTATTTCCTTTCCTACAAATTAGAGTGTCAGTCACTTAGACATGAGAGAACTCTCACTTGGTTTCCTCACTGCTGATGGTGCTCATGGAGCCTGCACTGTGTAACAATCCTGGGGATACCAGCTTTGGAGTAGGGAGTGTAGCTTTATTTTATGTTTGTACCTTACAGAGCATTAACGCCTGGCTGTGCAATAATAACAGATAGAAACAATATGGTGACGTAGAAATCCTGCTGCTACTGGCCAGGATCACACGTGGGTTATGCTTTGTTTTTCTTTGCTGAATTTCATTTTTGAAGAGAAAATGGTAGCACGGTGCAACTGACTGAAAATGCGAGCTGGCAATTTAATGTAGCATTATGCAATTTAAAATACCATTGGTGCCCAGCCAAGCTCCACTAGCCCTCATCCATATGGGACACCAGATAGGGAGGTGGGCTGAGGGAGGTAGCATATTTTAAATGATGCTTTTCATTTTTCTTAGAGTAACCTGGACCTTAATGAGGAGCACTGCCAGGTCCTGCGCCAGGGGGACCTCTCTAGCCCCAGGAAAGTCGAGGTTTGCACTGCGGCAGTGGAAGCATTGTCCAGCTGCATGAATGTTCAGATACAGCCTGGTGAGTAGCAGTGGAAACTCGCAGCTGCTGTTTTTCCATTAACAGCACCAACGGAATGGTTTAGACAAGGATGATCCTGTCTTGAACTGAGAGTTGGAGTAGCTGACCTCTTGAGGCACCTTCCCGCTCTAATTTTCTATGACTCTGTGATTTATATTAGCCACCTGCATTGCGCACACATTGTAGCCTGTACCACCCCATAAGGTCCTCCTTCAAACCAGGGCCTTTTGGAGGTAGCATTTCCCAAGATTAACTCAAAGGCTCCATCAGCAGCCCTCTGTGCTGACTGAGGCAAAGCAGCAAAACAGAAGTAACCTGTGAATTCTGGCAATTAGCCATTAGTAAAGTTCGGGAAGGACTGAGGAGTCTGTGATCGTAGAGGCATTCTTCAAGACATTTAACCTTCTTCTTCCTCAGTTTCTTAGGTGTAAACCTGGGTACAGGGCATGGACCCCCTACATCTTGACTCAAGCTTGTTGCTTCATTTGATCAAACTTTTCTCCCCTGCACCCATCTGAAATACCATTCGGTCACAGAAGGCTTGTTCACTTTCATTATCCAATGGGAGCAATATGTATGCTGTTCTTCTCCTTAAATTGATACTTACTAGGAAACACAAACCCTGAAACTTTTCTATCCACTCCAGATTTAATTTCTACCTGTTATTACCACAGGCCATAATAGAGAAGTAGGGCTGGATGACTTCCCTAAGTCATCTAGTCCAATCCCCTGCCTGAGGCAGGATCATCCCTAACTGAACCATCCTATACAAATCCATAATCTAACCTCTTAGTAAAACTACAGTCAACCCTGACTGTGGTAAACCCTAACCTGAGACCCCAGATAGAGGACCACACTCCTCACTACATAAAACAGTCTCTCTTTTGCCATTTCTAGTGTGGTATACTGTTTTCCAGAGTGGTGCTGTCCTCAGGACTCAGGGTATGAACTGCTGCTGCTTGTGCTTCTGCTCTTCCTCCTCCTCCTCCTTCTTCTATACCACATTTGACCATTTTGTTACACATTCTTGTACTCATTTATTGTACTTTGCAAGATCTTTCATTGTACATGTGCCTTCAAGCAGCAGACATTGCAGCAGGTGTTGCATAGTCTGAGGCTCTGTGCTTCAGCCAAAGATAGTTGAAGCAATGGTATCATCCCACTTCTTTATTAGTTCTTTGGAGCATCCAACTCCAGTACCTGAATGGTTGAGACAGCTACCTTTGCTGCAGTTTGTCAGCCCCTGGTGGCAAGTAGTCAGCTTCTGGAATGTCCATTTTTTTGCTGTCAGGTATTTTCTTCAGCCTCTTGTTCTACATCTGTAGTCATGTCTCCTTGGGCATGGCATCAAGAGGTTGGGTGCTAGTGAGGAAGATCCTCCATGACTTCAGATGTTTGTGTGCTGCAGGATGGTTGTACATTTTCAGTGTGTGAGATCCTCTTTGCTAAGAAAACAATGTCCCTGGAGTGGTACATATCTATAAAACTCTCTCTCCCTTTCACATGCTTAGAAGTACAGGGGAAAACTTGTTATCTGGGGGATCAAATTACATGCAAAAACACCCTTTTGGTGACATGCTGGTGGTTAACTTACCAAGGCCTTCACGATCAGCAGCAGCCAGACCTCTGAGGGATCAGGAAAGTAAACGTAGCCCCCTCTGCATTTTTGTGGAAAAAAAGGAATCGGTACAAATGGACTGTATTGCTATAGGTCATAGAATTACACAGCTAATGGCTAGCCTGCTTGTTGTCTGCAGGGGTAGGCAAAACTCTTGTAAACACTTCCTGCCTGGCTTAGTCCCTCTGGCCTGGTGCAGTGACCAGCCCATTCAGTATTAATATCTGCACAGGCTTGGGTTAAACTTTTGTTCTCCTTTCTCCACATGAGTGGGAGGAGAGCAAAGCCAGGGTCATCTCTATTCTGGCCACTAAACTGCTCTGTGCTGAAGGAAGAAATTTAGCAGAAGGTTGCACGTAGAAACTACAGACCACTGAGTTAGCCTGGTATGTTTATCTGAATGTGGGAGCGTCATTGTCTTCCTTTAACATGCAGATCCCATGGGCCTCATTTCAAAATCACATGTGCGCTATGATGTGCCCAATTTAGTCATGAAAGCACATTGATGACATTCAGAAATTGAACACGTTAATATGAAAATGAGAAACTAGATACATAAGTTCATACTTATTTTTTAAACTTGAGCCCTACATTTGTTCCTTGGGTATTGCAATGCTTATTTTGCTTCTCTTGTCTTCGGATCATGGTGTTTCTTTAAAAGAGTACGCTGTTGAGACCTGTCATATTTGTTACCTTGCTGATTAATGTGTGTCTTTGTGCTTGGCACTCTATATACAGTATTTTGTTGTGGTTGCTTTCTCTTGTCTTTCAAGGTTACCGGAAGCTGCAAGCTGTAGCTGAGCAGTTGATCATGTTTGAAACACTGAAGCAGAACTTTGAAAACAGTTTCATCAGCCATATTACTAGCATCTTTGAACAGCAGGTAGGTTAACATATTGTAAACATGTAAAGCAACCAATATTCTGGCAACATGGTATTAGTGGTATAATTGCTGCCCTATTGTAGCATGGAAAAAGTCAAAAAAACTTGCTTCCAGTCCATGCCATCTATACACACACACAAACAAGCCTACTTTTCATTGGTTTGTTCCCCAGGTACCCTTGCACACATGGTGTTAATCTGGAAAGCAGACTTTCCATACCAGCATTTTTTGCACAGTTAAAAAGTGTAGGCCTAAAAGGCATGTTTAAAATTATTAATATTTCCTCCTTTTTATATTAAACATGCAATTTTGTTTATCCCATAGGACCCTACATTTACTAGAAAACTGCTGAAATGATA